CAGACAGTGGCCCTGACCTCATTTTCTGGCCAGGCTAGAAAGGGTCCGCATAATAGCCCCAGAGACAGCGGGGCTCAAGGGAAAGAAACCAGTCAAGGTTCAAAACAACCCAGAAAGCCATCCTCACTGCAGTACAATTGGGTACTTTAAAACTGATTAGGGATGTTGTATGGACAAAATTTGTAATGGGCAAGTCAAGGACCTTGGGAGAGGAACAAGTGATAAGCATGTTTAATAGATGAGACAAAATCTAGTGAAATTTCAGGGCAGCCACCAATCAGACACATGAATAAGTATTTGCTACCTGGCAGCTTTTGCATCCTCACACTCTGGAGGACAATGAGGCATTCCTAAATGTAAGGGAAAGGTTTCCTTAACTCACTGCTGAACACCTTCAGAGGAGCCATTTCAAGAGAGGCAGGGAGCTAAATTAATGTCAAGCCCCCAAAATATTCATGAAATAATTATAAATGCATGTGGGCCATCATAGACACCACCTTTTACTTCCTATAATTTCAGTTCTTTACTCCATCAAGTGGTCTTTTTAAATTACTGGATGCTTCTCTTCTTTCTTACAATTCAGAGAACTAAGGTTTTCAGTCGATGTTAATTTTCTTTGAAGGATTTCAGAGGGTAGTATTTCCACATACAAACCGTAAAATTATTATTTTCAAGTAGGACTGGTTCTTTTTCTCTGTAGCTTAGAAGAAAAGAGATCTATGTAATCGCAGTGTCAAAATGTCAAAAGACTGAGATAGGTTGGAAAAAAGAAGAAAAGGAAAGAAAAAACACACACACACACAAACCCTTAAAGGCATCCATGCAGTCCTCAGCCTTACAAATCCTTGGCTCACATAAAATACTTGTGACATGCTGTAATTAACTAGTTACTCCTCTCAGAATGAATAATAATGCAATTATTTGCCAAAAGCAGTGAAGAAGGGATAGTTTCTGTTTTTAAAAATATCTGCCTTTCATTTCTGTAAAAAGAAAAACCCTGGATTAATTGACATAAGCTGCTAAAGCACAGAGTGACCTGCAATTTCACCATTACACTATATGATAATTCTGTCACCTTTTTATCGGAGCCTTGTATTTTTCAATGGTTTGAAACAGTAATAAACTGACAAGTCACTACCATGTTTAAATTATACTGGTTCTTAAAAACTGCCCCCAAATACCACAAAATATAAGTAGTGAGCTGCATGGTGAAACATGTCCCTTTCACAACCGTACTCTGATGTCATTGAGGTCGCTAAGGGCTAGTGCTCTGGCTCCTTTGTCTGTGGGACACAAATTAAAGGAGGCAGGTGGCCTTCTTCAAGTGCTAAGTAGCACAGAGTTAAGTGAGAGTTTATGTGAACATATCACTGGTTCTTTCTCCTATGTGTTAATGTCCAGACAATAACTAATCTCTAACTTCGTCCAAGTTCTATCTTGCCTTTCTTTCAGTAATTCATTCAGTAACCATTTATTGATGACTTGCTATGATGCCCTCTACTAGGTTCCAGAAATTCAAAGGTAAAAAAGACATATAGCCTTTAAGAAGGTTTCAGAAAGTGAAGGTATGAACTAATAAATAGGCACATTAAGAATGCAGTAAATGCCACCACAGAGCCCATTCTTCACACACACATACACAAATTCATGTACTCTATCAACATATAAAATCTCTCTGCCCCATGAATCTGAACTTTCAAAAATTCCAGGCTCTTTAAAAGTTTTGAAGGAGTGACTTGGTGCTAGGATTTGGTGCTAAAACTTAGAGTCAGTTGGAGTGTGTGTGTGTGTGTGTGTGTGTGTGTGTGTGTGTGCGTGTGTGTGTAAAACCTGTATTTTTATAAAAAAGTAGAAACAACATTATGTAGAATTTTGTTAAGGATAAAATAGTCTAAACAATTGATGTCTTAAGTAGTCAGATTAACTTAATTCATATCAATTTGTTATTCATTCTAATTACCAGGTATTAGTTCAGAATGCCTTCAAATGAATATTCACTGATATATCCCTATGATACTAAAATGTCTGGATCACTTGTTTGGGAAGACAGAGACTAAGAGGCATTATGACTTAGATTCATAACATCACGATAAATACTCTAAGAGTAGACATAGTCTTATTTTTTCAAGTCTAATTATCCAAGGTACTCCTTTAATTAGTTAATAATAGGAATTTGGGTTTGCCTTGTTTTTCACTGTACTGAACAGTATGTAGAACAGTGTAGGTTCTGGCATCAAACTGCCTATATTGGAAATTAGGTTCTTCCCCATAAAAGCTATGTGACTTCTCTAAGCTTCAATTTTCTCATCTTTAAGATAGAGATAGTAATAGTAGCTACCTCACAGAGATAGAAGGATGAAAAGAGTAATGGCACATAAAGCATATAACACTATCATTAAGTAAGCTACTATTATTATTGTCATTATTTGATCTCACTGAGAACATTTAATATCTGCCAAGAAAATTAGTTAGCTACTCTCTGTTTTTATGACAATATAGTAATGATGATTTGTATTAATTTCATCTTTTTTAAGAATATAAGATCATGTCACTATATTTATTCATTTCATTTATTTATCTACTACATGCAGTTATTGAATGATGAGTGTATGGAAAGTATTGGGTGGTGCGGGGAATACAAAGATAATTTAGCTACTACCAATAGGGTGTCAGACTATGGTGCTGGAATCCTGCATGGTTTTTGAACTAATTAAGTTTAATAAACTCAGATACTAAAAATAATTTGAAGATACCTGCAGAGCCCTTGTACCCTATATAATTTACCTTTTAGATAGATGGGAAAATAATGACTTTCTCTCTGTTCTGCTGTTAGTAACATAATTATGCTGGTGTCTTTCAAGGAGATAGTCCCCAAAGTCTAACACAACAATAGTAAACTGGCTTGAGGCAATTAGAACCAACTTTTAAAAAACACACAATGTCCGTCTCCTCACCTCTTTATTTACTACAAATTGTTAAGGAAAACAAGGCTGATCTACAAAGTCACTTCCCCAAATGCACGGCGGAAAGGACCAAACGGTCTTGAGCATGTAGGCAGCCTCTCAATCTCAGATCTCTCAGATGCCAAGAATCAGGCTAGGTAGCAATGTTGTGAACTCAGTAGCCACATCGCGACCGAGGTAGGAAAACCGCTCCTCAATGACTTGTGCATTCGGAGATGGTAACCATCTGTCCTAGCCATTTGTTCCTAAGGATGTGAAAGTAAAAATAACCCCGTGTTCCTAAAGCAATTCTCTGACCAAAAAAAAAAAAGTGCATTGGCACAATTTCTGCCAGCACTTTTAACAGAGATCTAGGTAATACTGATACAGACGGTCTAAGGACTACACTCCGAGAAGCACTGTCGTGTAGACAAACCCTCTCACTTAATCAACAAATGGATAAAGCAGTGATTCCAAGGAAGTGAATCTGGTGCCAGTCTGACTGCCTAAGAAGGTAGAATCCTAAGCTCTACCCCCAGAGTTATTAGGGCCAGAAACCTGCTTGTGAATCAGTATATTTAAAAGTTTTCCAGGAAATTCTAATACACAGCCTGTGGTGAAAGGAAAGGGGTTGTATGTTACTTTCACACACCCGTAGATGGCCCTTGTTCCACAATTTACTAGCTCTCTGACCTTATAATTGCGCTATCATTGGTCTATAAAATGGCTGTTGTAAAGATTAAAGAAACCAATGCATGTTAAGAACCCAGCATGTAGTAACCTAGTTGTTATTGTAATCATTACATTATAGGCCCAGCTCTAAGTAAGATCTACAGAAGTAAAATTTGTGCTTCACCACTTTGGGAAGCATAAAATCTATTTAGAAAAATAATGTAAATATTAATAGAAAATTAATTAAGAGAAATTTAAAATATGAGTTTATATTCTAAGGCAATAACATATTTACACACGTATAAAAATATTCTGAGTGAAAACAGTCTACTTTGTCTACAGAGAATGATAAGAACATAGGAAAACTCATATAAAGTTTGCTTGAAAATGTCTCATTCTTCTAATTCAGGCAACCTAATTCTCATCGATTCAAATTTCTTTGTATATTATAGAAAAGTATTAAAATCATGAATGGTAATCAGCTTGTATTTATTACTTAAAACTAGAATTAGAAAAAATAGTGTATATCTGGGAAAGGGATCTATGGGACAGGCATCAAGCGGCCCACAAATACTCTGAAATTTTATGCAAAAAAGTTGTTTTGCGTGAGTATGAGAATTTCTAAAGAGAGAGCCATACCTTTCATTTGATTCTCAAAGGGTTTTGTGCCGCGCCCCCCCCCCCACAAACGTTAAGGACCACCAAAGATTCCTGGTTAGCACATGTCTTGTGCATCTTCATGTAGCTGAAGAAATATAACTCCTGATTGCACTCCAAATAATCTCCTGGCTTACTTTCTTGCAAATGTCCTCTGAATCATTTTCCTCACGCTCTCACCATTCAGATATCCTGAGAATAAAGAAACACAGTAAGATCTCATTTGAGGAAATTGTAAAGCAGACTTTCATGACTACCTCAGCCTATTCAAATTCTGCCAGCATCAGCATGGAAGTGTATGTACATGTTTCAAAAGTTCCAATGGCAGAGATTTACTGATGATTATTTTCTGCGTTTGCCCTTTTTATTTTTTTATCCATTTACCAATCTTTTGAATTATTTTCAATTAGCTCTGTGCTTCTTTTCGTCTCTGGTAAGCAAACGAAGGAACTTCCCTGGAAGGATACAATTCAGTTTTGTCGACTTGTATGTTGCCAACCTAGCAATTCTTCCACTTTGTGTTTGATGTATAATGTGATAGCAACACTATTAATGTTATTTTTTTTGATTGAGGTAAATTGGTATATGACATTATATAAGTTTCAGGCACATGACATTATAAATTGATATTTGTATGCACTTCAAAGTGATCACCATCATAAGTCCCGTTATTACCCATCACCATACAATTAAACCCCTTCACCCATTTTTATTTCTCTCTTCCTTTAGGTGTGTGTGCAATATCGACTGTTCTCAAACCAACTTCAATCCCCTCTGTGCTTCTGATGGGAAATCTTATGATAATGCATGTCAAATCAAAGAAGCATCATGTCAGAAACAGGAGAAAATTGAGGTCATGTCGTTGGGTCGATGTCAAGGTAATGTTCATACCAAAATTCATTTCAAAGAATGTTTTTAGTCTTAGTGTAGAAATGAAAAGTGAAGATAACTCCTTATTAGGCAAGCTATTTCCTTTCCGGAAGACAGTTCTGATTTATAATGGATACTAAAGTCTACTGTAGCATTTATGGTGATTATAGGAGTTTGAGAGCCTATCAGCAACAGTCTATATCTTTTTCTATATAATAGGACTGTATCTTCACAATGCCGTAAACACAGAAGCCAATATTCAGCAGACATTCTCTTTGCACAGGGAAAAAAAAAAAAAGTCAAAATCATCTTTAGCAAAGAATCTGAGGATTTATTAGAAAACTTTGAAATTAAAAACAAATGACACCATTTTTATGTATTGAATCAATAGAAATATTTCAAGTACATTTTTTAAAGCAGGATGTACGAGAATGTTTTATGTTGTTTCTTATTCAGAAACAAACATTTTCTTGGGTTTTGACTTGTTATTCCTTTACCCACCTTATCTCAGTTATGATTGTGAAACTTCTCTGCCCCAAACTCTAGAAAGCTGATATCATTTTATTATTTGCTCTCAAGCAAATTGATGTAAATATGTCTTTGCATAAAGGTAGCTTAGAACTATAGTTATAAAATTTCCTTAATCACAGTGAAGGTACTATTAGAAGAATAATATAAATTTGACATTCGATGTTTAGGAAGCAATTAATCAATCTTCGTTGTTAATTTTTTTCACACAGATAACACAACTACAACTACTAAATCTGAAGATGGGCATTATGCAAGAACGGATTATGCAGGTACATTATAATATTTTCTACAATAGAATATGAGCACTTCTATAAAAGGGTCCTGGGGGGATCATTTTTTTCTTACCATTGATCCTAAGGTGAATCTTGCAAGACTTCTGAGATGTGCTAATCTTCTCTTGCTTGGTTCAAACTTTCAATAGACAATAGTGAATTTTTTTGAAGCAAATAAAATGCCTTTTATTTTTTTGCCAGAGTTAAAGCAATTGTCAGAAATGTCAGTAAGATATAACTAACTTGTTTTGACAGTGCAAATGGTACAAATAACAAAACATTTATCAAATTAATGGGCATCAGTGGAAATTAATGTAGTTTTTGGTAGTATATTGTAATGAATGCAAACATTCTTGTTTGAATTTTCATTAAAGTCAACAATAAAAAATTTTGCTAGTCTCTAAAATAACTGGAAAAGATAGCTATAAATAATACCGGCTCTCTCTCTTTAAATGCAAAGTTAAAAAGGTATCTGTAAATTACTTTTAAAATAATAACTTATTATTTTAATAAAATTATTATTTTAAAAGTACAATGTAGCTTCTGACATACAGAATTATCAAGCATTTATATAAAAATGTAAATTTTATTTAGCTATTAGAGAATATTATTTTGGGAATTATTTCTACCTAATATAATTTTTCTAGGGTGAGAAATAATTTATGGGTATGCAAATAGGATTTTAACAAATTATTAAATTTTATAAAAACTTAGGATTAAAAATATAAAGTAAAATTATTGATGTTGATAATGATATTTGGAGTTTTGTGTTTTAAAGAGCTTTTCACTCACCTATTAAACAGTTCTAACTAGATTTATGGCCAATAGTCAATCAAGAAATGCTCTTATCTTTCAAAATATGTATTATCGTTCATTTTTTCTGAAATTGTATTTTAACAGTATTTCTGACATCATATTTATACACAAAATTAATCGCAATGAAATTGAAAAAAGTTAATCAGATGTTATACTACGGACACCTCACACCTCTCAGAATTTAGAAATAACAAAAAATTTTTTTAAATTTTTCATTTTTATCTTAATAGTTTTCAACATGTAAATAAAACTATTCATGTGCTAGAAGCCTGGAAGTATCATGCACAATGATACATGGAAAAACATTAGTTCCACTATTGTATAGCTGTTCCCAAATGTCCAGGAGAGCTATTAGCAGGTATTCCTTGAAAAGAACAGTCCATGATCAATAAGTTTGGGAGCAGCCCAGATAAACAAAGGACTTTCTTACCCAGAACACCTCATAGCTTGTGTGCACTGTGAAATCTTTAAGAGATATGCATGTTTTATTTATTTTTTTAATTTTTGTTCTAATAGATACAAAATACACGCAAATGTAGGCTGGGTAGTATAATGAACCCCATGTATTCATCACTCAAATGCAGTAACATCAACCCTGGCTAACCTCGCCCCGTCTCCAACTGCATCCTGATCAGCATTTTCAAAGTTATGTGGAAAGAAATCCCAGAAATTGCATCACTTTATTCATAAATACTTTAGCCTGCAACTCTAAAAGATCAACTCTTTTTAAATAAAATTACGTTATTATCACACCTAAAATAATTTTGAATGATTCCTTATAGTATATAGTTTTTATCAAACTTATGTGATAGACAACACATGCTTTTGCGGCACTTTTGCAGTACTGGTATTCCCAAGAACGCACTTTGGAATATGCTGATCCACAGGAAAGTATTAAAGTGATAAAAGATAATGAAAAACCAAGGTCTGAAACTAATAATATACATTTTAAATGTTAAATGAAATCAAATTTAAATTCTATATTTTGTTATAAACAATAGCTATATCTTGAAGGTATTATAAGCCGCTACCTGGCATATTTAATTTTACTGTAGCCTAAAGTGTTTGAAGATTTCATAAGGATTTCACTTTCATATAAAGAGTAACTAACTGTGCTTAAAATACCTTTATACTTGTTTTGCAAACTAATTCACTTGGAAAAAAATCTTCAAAATGTAATATTATATGAATAACTTCTCTATTGAAATATTCGTCATTGAACTCATAGGAAAATCAAGCTTCTCCCTGAAACAAAAAGCTTTTCAAGTTGATTAGCATCAATATGCAAATATATGTGAGTTTATAAAACTGTACATTACATATCATATTGGAGTTTACCACTCTGTCATTGTCATTCATATTACCTATTTACAGATTGCCCACTTTCAAAGAGTTTGGGAGTTAAATTTTTGTTCCAAAGAATTCATATTTGAATTTGATTTCAAAGAGATAATTTCTGACCTTCAAAGTCAATGCTTTTGGTTGGCATTATTTCCTATCTTACCCCTTTATTGAACATGAGAAGGAAAGAGAATGTGTTTTTAAATCCGTGCAAATGAAAACTGTTCAGACCCTCAGTGTTGTCCAAGGTCTGCTAGTTTGACATCAGATTTATCTAGTAAATTCCATAGAAAAACTTTTAAGATAAAAGTAAAGTTTAAAAATACATGTTTGTTGAAATCCAAATTTAAGACAGAAACAAAGATAATGTCAATTGAAGCCTGCAATTTCTAATTAAGCATTGATTACATACTTTAAAACTCCCATGGAAGTTAATTTAGATGTCTTTATCTTCATCGGTAATCTTATTAAAGTACAATGTATACCCCTCACTAGACAATATATAAATAATAGCCACATCCCTCAACATTTCCAGGCTTTCAATAGTATTTGCATTTTCATAAATTTTGGGATACAAACTTTGGAAAAATAAAAGGAACCAAATGGAGACTTAGTATGTCACTGTCCTCTTAATTTTTGTTTCACATTTTCAAAACTCCCCAAGAAGGGAAAACAGGAACTGTGTGACTCACATTCCTAGAAGTTTGCTATCTGCTCACAAGTTCACTTAATGTCACAGTCACTTCCCTTGTTAGACAAACATCGATGGATGCTCCCACTGGAGGGAAGTCCCGATCTTAACACATTCATTTTTTTCTTAGATGCTGTTAATACTAGAGGTTAAAAACCTTTAGCAACACCCCTATTTTTCCTGTTTGAGCCTACCTTACTGATGTTAGTACAAAAACCACACATTACTGATTACAAAAATGATATAAAGAGAACCAAAATCTAAAAATAAATATGCTGTGTCTCATATTTAATATCATTTATAAAACAGAGACTGCAGTAAGGACGAGCAAGGGCCAATTCACAAGAAAACAAATACAAAGAGAGCCAGGCCCCCAACAAGGCTAAGAGGAGGTCAATTACAGGGTGACCGAACTTGTGCAGAGCTATGAATTCCAAGATAGACCTGAAACGGACTCTAGGAAGCCAAAGAATTTGCCAGATCATCCCAGCCAGCATTACTTTCTGGTTGTGCTTGACTTGGGTCTCTATTCTGCCCTCTCTCCTTTAATGAGACCCAAGGCAGTAGTGAGTCCTGAGTCAAGAGCTTTGGATCTCTGTTTCAAGGCAGAATGACAGGATCTCTGTCTGATAAGCTAAACAGGCTACTTAATGTCATTCTCCCTTCATCAGTCTAAAACTTGGGCTTACATTTAGGTCTCTCTCTTTACTTGCAGAAAGGCTCAGAGAACATTTTATAAAACCACAGAACTGAAGCTTTCAGGGATTTCCATTGTTTCAAAATGCTAATATTAAACTTTCCTTCTGGAAGTTTTCATAAATAGCATATTTTATAAATAGCAAATGTTTTATACCTCTTGAAATCTGCAACATTTTCTTTTTTAAAAAATTTCCCCTCATGTCTTGGAATGAAAAAATGAAGTTCACCCATTTTGCTTTTCTTCATCTGGTATATGTATTTTCTGATTATATTGCTTTTCTGTCTAAAAGTCTGATCATGGGGCACCTGGGTGGCTCAGTTGGTTAAGCGACTGCCTTCGGCTCAGGTCATGATCCTGGAGTCCCGGAATCGAGTCCCACATCAGGCTCCCTGCTCAGCAGGGAGTCTGCTTCTACCTCTGACCCTCCCCCCTCTCATGCTCTCTCTCTCTATCTCATTCTCTCTGTCAAATAAATAAATAAATCTTTAAAAAAAAAACCAATTGTCTTTAAAAAAATAAATAAAATAAAAAAATAAAAGTCTGATCATGCTTCAGAAAAAGTAGCTGCATATTTTTCCAGTGAAAATGTACTTAATTTTATAAATTGTTAGATGTAAAAAATATACACTTACACATAAACACACACATGAAAGACAAAACAAACCATGAATTTAAACGATTTTGTCTTTTATCATCTAGAAAATACAATGAGTTTTCTTTTAGGACATTTTGCACCAGTTTCTGAAAGGATTTGTAGTGGCTTATAATTAAAATATATTCAATGAGATCGTTTAAAGAGAAAGTGAAAGCATAAGGCAGAACTGTAGAGGAAAATAAATATATCAGCAACATGGACTATTATAGCTACTGCATTTAGCCCTAAGCTTCCTTGTAACCAGTGTAAAAAGAGAAAATATGATTGCATCAATTCATTTGGCAAATATTTAGAGTCCCTGCTATATGCACTCTACTGGGCTTTACAAAGGTGAACTCCTCATTCTAGGGCTCTGCCAAGATGGAACTTAGGTTTCCATTGCCTGATAAAAAAAGAATAAATAATTAGTTCAGAAACCAAACACATAATTTCTCTAATGTTCAGTTCTCAAAAGAAATATTTGGCACAGATCTTCTTATAGCTGGAAGACATAGAATGGATAATATCTTCAATAGTGATTTTTATAAAATATGCCAAGGCTTTTCACAAGGCTGGGGATTTTTTATAACAATTTTTATAAGATTCTAGAGCATCGCATTAGAATATGTGTAAATCAATGATAGTCTTTCTGTGGCAGATTAAATAATGAGTTATATTTATGTATATTTCCAAGTTGGAAAAAAATAACACAGAGTCCTAAGGGAAATGGCTATGAGGGGGAGTGTGTTCAGCTTATCTTCCTCATGTATCTACAGGTTTAACAGGAGCTGGATTAGAAGAACAGTCAGAAAGCC